CTTCACAATATCACAATGCTTGCTTTGTCATTTGTCCCTTTAATGACATCATATGTATCATGATATCACCAAATAAATAATTTCTATTTAACCACTATGATATATGTGATGTCACTTATCGCCCCCCCCCCAGCAACATCTTTGCAAGTCAGTGGAGAACAAGATTTCTGCATGCAGCTGAGCTCTGGAAATCATCTGAACAAGGTAGCAAGAGAGATCTTGGCTGCAACTTAAATGGGAGCTATTTTGCTGGAAATAACGGCCTTCAAACCAGTTCATAGCTTATATTAACAGTATCTTTTATTACACTATTACTGTATGACAGGTCTATACTTAGTCTTTGACTGGCATGATAGGGGTTTGATCTGCAGACCCAAAAGTGGGTAATAAATATGATTATTCTTTATGCACTTAATTTCTACCTTCAATCATATTAAAAAAGAATTCATGGGAAACTTTCGAAGGGGCTGTACTTAGAGTTTGTGAGGTGTGCATGGCTTTGGCCAGATGGTACCACTTAGCCAAACTTAGCTAATTTTGAGAAAGTTAAGCAGGACTGGACTTGGTTAATATGCTATTTTGATGGGGAATCCTAGAAATTAGACTGGGAAGTTGAAAAAACAAAGCCACCTCTATACTGTTGCCAAAAAAATCCAACATGGAGATGTCTAGGGTTGTGCAAGACTTTATCAGCACAACCGTTCTGTGCATGGAACAGGAGGATTGGAGTGGTCTGTGCCCAAATCAAAACATCGGAGGACTGTTTATCCATTTATGGACCAAAACTCAGGTGTTCTGGCAGAACTGGTATATGGGTGGGGGTGGTTAGATAAGAATAGGAAAAAGCCAAGGATGTTGTTGGCAGCTGAAGGAAGGGAAGAGAAGGCCCTGAAAAGATTGGGGGCCAGTGGAATATGCTGTGGTGGGAGCTACAGTGATGATAGAAAGGGGCATTGGCCTTATTTGCCTCATAAAATCCCTCTGGATTTTTGTTTAGGCAGAAACTCACAACAACAAATAACTTTTGTTTCTGCTGAAACACAGTTTGAAACACTACAGCAGAATGTCTTGGAATGCAATGGGTTGTTCCATGTTCAGATCAAAATATATTTCATACGGATTCCTAAATTTTTTCATATAATTATCAGAAGAAGTCATAGCCTTGAGCCTGCAGATTGTGCCCTTTGGTTGAATGATGGCCTCAGTTGTTACCCTCTTCCCCCCAGATTGTGCAAATAATGATATAAGAAACCCCAATTACACTGTTGGATTGTCATGAAAACCAGCTGGCTGACTTTGGGCCAGTCACTCTCGCTCAACTCAACCTACTTCACAGGGCTATTGTTTTGGAAGAGGAGGCAGGAGCATTATGTAGGCTGCCTAGAGTTGTACAAAAACAAAGGATATAAATTTAATCAGTCAGCAAATAAATATGTTTTTCAGCCTGACTGCCCAACGCACATGCTAGTTTAATCTGCCAGCGTTCTCAGCCTGCAAATAACATATAGTAAAGTCTCCTTCAAATCAAGCTCAATTTCTTGTGACTTCATGGTCTTCATCCATGTAGTTTTTCTGGCAACAGTTTAAATGTGGCTTGTCATTGCCTTCTTGCAGGCTTTTTACCTTTTTAAACTTCTACTTTCCAGTCTACTTTACAATATGGCATACTCTAAAGTTCTCTTGCTTTAAGCCCAACCTTAGTTAGGTTCTGAGCCCTCACAGTCAACCGGGTGCCTGAGCCTGCAGTAGGTCAGCTGGGTGTCCCAGCTTGCAATACAGAAATAATGGTAAGACGATTTGTGTTGCAAAACTAGAAATGACAACAGCCCTCATAAAATTAGATGACGCAAGCAAAATGATTGGGAAAAATCTAACTCTTGGCTGCCATCCAGTGGCCGTGTAATTTTTGCAGCTCAGAGATGCAACTGGGTGTGCTGAAGCTGTGGGGCAAGGAATGAGCAGCAAGGAAAAACCCGTGGCTCCCAATGTTACTGCTGCCTGGAATGAGGCATAGACATGTGAAATGAGAGAAGAGAAGAATGAGCAAGAAGAACTGAGCATGAACTAGCAGAAGTAAAGTAAATTATGCAGAAAGGGGCACGTATTTGCTTGTTTTGTATTTATCTAGGATACAGAAGACATATATTTGGTGTATACTATCAGTATAAACCCAGACCTGATTATATTCTTCTTGAATATAGTCTCCATTCCTTTTTAATATTTTAAAAGTATTTATAAATGATAATGTTTCTCTACATCAACAGTTCTCAAAGTGTGGTCTGAGGACCCCTGGGGGTCCCCAAGACCCTTTCAGGGGGTCCACAAAATCAAATAAATATTTTAAAATTTCCCATTTTAATTTCTAGTACAGTAAATTTTGATAGGTATAAACCAAAGCTTTTGGGGATCCACAATAATTTTTAAGAATGTAAAGCACTTTAAAGCTGAATTGTTGCTCTATCTTTTCCTTGCTGTAAGTTGGTGGATTTTCCTAAAGGTCCCTTTGTTATTCTGTACAGACCTTCTCTTTCCACAATTTCAGGGGTGCTGTTCTATCCAGATTATAAAAGTATTTTATCAGAGGAATTAACAGAAAAATCCTTGGTATAAGTGCCAGTTCTTCCTCCAGAATTGCATCATAACTTGGATAAACTCACACTCTTTATTTTGTAGAGATATTTCTGAAAGACGAAGCTTAAATATATATCCAAATTCTGAATGTTTTCTATTTGCATCTTCTGTTTTGTTGAATCATCCCGAATAAATGGAATTATGTGCCCTAATTATGCTGTTTGGTAACATATTGTACTTTCAAGAATGGTATCCCCTATCCATCCAAGGTTAGCTCCTTTCCAAATATGATTGCATTGTTACAGTAGCGTCTCTCCTTATCAAAGATGGAGCCTTCTTCCACTTGGACTTGACTCCTTGTGATGTCATTACATCTCATTTTTGAGTCCTACTCCTTCTGCCCTTCAACTTTGAAATATGAATTGGATTTTGAGGGCATAGTTGCTCTCTGTCTTCTTCAGTCTTTCTCCCAGACTGCTTGTGCTTGTGCACCCTTTTTGCTATGGGTTTGTTTAATTTAGCATGTTGTGTGATGCCAGCCACTGAGATTGTAAAACATGCTTTATAGCATAGAGTTAGGCATGAACAAATTCATACAGGCATTAACAAAAGTGCTTCAGATTAGGGATGTACAGAACATTTTGTGCACAATTTGATACATGGGGCAGTTGGTCTGGAGGGGGGTCCTTGTTGAACAGAAATGTGTGTTCTGGATATTTTGATCTGTGCAACGGGGGAAGTAGGGCTGTTTTACTATAGATGTGGACTGAAAGGGTCCACCAAACAAACTAAGGACATTGATAGTGATGGCAGTTGAGGGGAGGGAGGGAAGGAAAGCAAGGTGCTGAGAAGATCAGGATGGGGAGAGGACAGTGGAATGTGCCATTTTGGGAGCCTGTTCCTTACTGCTGCGAAAACTGTAGTTAAGGACCATTGCTGTGGCGACTGAGGCAGAGGTAGGTAGGTAAGTGAATGAGAAAATGGGCTACTGGGCTATGTCATGCTGCAGTATTGCCAGTGGTGGCAGAGTTGGCTGAGAAGAGACAGTGAAGGAAAGGTTGGGAAGACTTAGGGGAGCAAAGCAAACCAGCCTTGCCTTATTTGCTCCATAAAATCCCTCTGGGTTCCCGCTGGGCTTTATCTAAAGCCCGGAATAATAAAAAGGTTCTGAGTTTAAAACAAAACATATTTCTCATTTATGCACTCCCTTAGTCATGACTTTGAACAACATATGAATACATTGATTGGCTTTGCACATTGCATTAAGCCATAATACAATTGGCTTGTATTTTTGCATAATCAGCTGAGGTTTAGTCAATAAACAATGGCTTTGTGCAATGTGCAAACTTTGCTTCTCTTCTAAAGACGGCAGCTTTTCTCCCACTGGAACTCATTTCTAGAATAAGTTGGTTATTGAGCAGTTGCTTTAAGTTAACTTTTAAGGTCAGGAAAAGAAAGTAAAGAAAGAAAAGAAAAAAGATTATCAGGAGAATAGAATGCTTTTAAATGCAGATGATAAAAGAGTTGAGTGCTACCCCAAATCCTTCTTGATTTTCAAGATTGAATACTTTTCTCCCCTGTTTTACTTTCCTTGTGCCTGTTAGTGACCCTCAGTAACAATGGGAATACAAAGATGACAAGAGAGATGGTTTGCCTCTTCAAGCTTAATTTTTCACTGTATTAGCCAGGGTGCAAAGTTGAAACTTTGCACTTTGTCTCGTAGGAAGTGTGACCTGCATACCAGCCTGAGATTGATGGATGGAATACATTCACATGAAAGGAGGAGCATTGGTTGCAACATCTGGTGTTACTTCTTACTTCCTTTTTGTTTCCCGCTGGTGCAGGTCAGTTTATCTACAGGAGTAGATGGCCGGATGACACCTTGATACAGTTTTTTATCATATTCCTGAAGTTCTCGGGGTGACACCAGATCCTGGCAGACATTCCATGACCAGGAGTATGTGGAGAAGGTCTGGTAGAAGCTGGGGTTGCCCGTCTCCAGCCCAATCTCTCCACCGCGTAGTCTCCGCCACAGCTTCAGTGATCTGTCGCGTTCACGGAGAGCCATCGCTTTCTGATAGGAGCCTGTCACTTTCTTCACCTGAATAGGAAAGCCAGAGAGTGTGGGTGGGAAATAAATCATCAGAGTAACCATGTATAAAGTTTAAAGCTGACTCATTGAGAGTCGGGTAGCATATAAATGTGATAAATATATACATAAATAAATGTATGACTCCCAGAATTAAATCCAAATTATGGCTGGTGTTATGAAAAGGAGATTTGAGGAGTTTGAGGCTGGCAAGCTTCTTCCCACTACCCTTTGTTCTTAGTCTCTTATTTACATAATTAATATCTAGCACCTTTAACAATGATATATATTCACCAAATTCCTAACAAAGTAAAATACAATAGAAAAAAGTGGACATACAAAATAATATAAAAGACCATGTCTACTCAATAGTCAGTCTAATTTAAAAATGCCTACGTTAGCAGTTCTTAAAAACCTGGAAAACGAAATAGCTGAAAAGGGACTACATTTACTGCTTGACAAAGAAGGGCACCCAGAAAAAGGAATCAGACGATTATCCCAATGGATGGACCTACTGCTGGAATTTTTCCATTCAGGCCAAACAATTCTTTTCACCCACGCTTTGTTAGCAGTTCAGCTGCAGTGTTATACTCAGTGTTATACTCTGCGGTGTTATATTCAAGTGTATACTGTTATAGTCTATACTGAGCTGCAGTGCTATACTCTAATTCCCTATGCTGGCTGGGGGATTCTGGGAGTTGAAGTCCACCCATTTTAAAGTTGTTGAGGTTGAGAGACACTGATCTAGATGACTTTTCTGAACTGCATGTAAACACAATATTATACATGCATTACCATAATTTAATTTAGAAGTTTCCAGGTTATAGATAACAGTGACCAGATTGCTTTTGTTCAGAGGGATAGTATTCAGTGTATCAGCTTCAACTGACAGAATGCCACTTTGTGCCACGAAGACTTCCAGAGCTTCAAGTAATAAAGGGAATCAATGGTTAATCTTGATTTGTGAGCTGCTTCTTTGCATGAGAAAATAATGGCCTAACGGAGTTTATGGGATTCCTTTGAAGGAAACAACAATATGTGAAGGAAGTCTATGACATGCCTACTTGATGAAGATAATTTGGTGCCTCTCCAGAAGCACATTCTGCAGAAGATCATGGCATCCCAATGAGCTGTTGAGGAAGAGCTCGAGGCAAACAGCTAGAGAGGAGGAATTCCATCGCCCCTTCATCCTGCCTTGCCCAAGAGAGCTGGAGCAACTAAAGTTGCAGGAACAAGGATGGAATAAGTGCCTGGAACTAAGGGATGGTAGGATCAGGACTGCTGTGGCAGAATTATGAGGCAACACTGAGGACTTTCCTCAGTGATTTAAGCCTGACTTTCCTCAGTATGTCCTGCAACTGCATCCTTTCCAGCGCATCTTGTGAATCTCCTTATATATTTGGAACTGGGCACTGAAATTCTCAGACAGGCTTAAGACCATCACCTCTTCTTGAAGCTGGTTGCTTCTCCAAACAATTAGGCCGTGGAGCATGGACTATGCACTTAATAAGTGGCTAATCCTCTCTAGCACTCTGCCTTCCTTTCCAAATCACTTCCTTGGCACTAAACCAGCTATGGTGCTTATTAGTGAATTATAGCAACTGTTGCTGTAAAAAGCTTAAATAGTTTACCTATCTGAGCATACATACATACATACATACATACATATAAAAAATATATTGCTGATACATTTCTCTGTAATAATAATGGGAAGATAAACATACAGCAACTGAACAGAGGCTAAGCAGGTTTAAAAAATTATTTAAAATATATAAAATTCTAGTTCTTTCCAAAAAGGAATTTTGCATTGCAGACCATTGTATGGCATATCATGCTGTTCATGCTACACTTACATGAAACATAGGTCACATCTATTAAGACCCTCCATCTGCAAATGTGCCTTCAAAACATTCTCTTCCATGATTCCAGAGAAAATCAGTAGAAGATGGGCAAGCTCCCCTGTAATCCCATTTATGTAAAGGTACAATTGGTGGAAACCAGGTTGTGCCTTTATAATTCTACCCACGGTTCTTAGGAACATAGCTTTAGCCCCTAGATAATTTATTTTGCTGACTATAGTCAGGACATCATAGATGGAACATTTTTCTTAATTAGGCAAAGCAACAGTGAGTCAGTCTCGCTAAAGAAGCTGGCTTTCTCATATCCTCCGAATCAAGGAGGCAGGCACAACAATCAAAAGATAAGAACAAGATTTCCAGGTGCTGGTAAGAATTATTTTATTGTTGACCCCAAAATAATGTTTATTAGGACCTTCCACCTTTTCATTTATCCCCCACTCCCATATTCTATGAAACTGAATATAAGTGCTCAGACTACAAGAAGAAAGAGGAGGAACAAGAACAACAAACAGCCAAACAGGAACCTCAGATCATCTCATTCCAACCATCTTCACTGCAGTGAGCATGTCCTGAAATCCAAGAGCTTATTCAAGGTGACAGCAAGTAAGTAGTTTAGGTAGGCTAATTGTATTGATTTTAGTTGGAATTCTCACTCTGTGTGATTATTACTTTTTCTACATTCTCTTTTTCCTAATAAACTCTTTTATAGATCTGGAGATGTGGCTTTATTGGTTTAAAATGGCAATTTCTCATTAAAATCTTTCCCAGGTACACAACTACACACCTTTTATGAGCTCTCCTCCTACGAGGATTGGCACAAAGCTTTTATGTTCTCCACTTCGGATAGGAAGTTCTAAAGCACTCCCCGTTCTAGTCTTCCTAGAACTGAGCCAAAGAGAGAAGTCATGGAAAGATGAACTCCCCATCTGCAGAGACTACAGTGTGCCAGGAGACTGGTGGTAGCCTATCACAACGATCTTTTATTGGGAGTTGAATCCACCTAGATTAGCCTAAGTTACCAGCAGAGAATTTTCCTGTATTTAAAACAATCCACTTGTATATTTAGTCGCTCATACAGTAATCCTGTAGGATATGGCCAGGCCATTACTCCTTCAGTGTAAATTCAGATTTTAAGGAGAATATGCTCATTCAGGTTACATCTTATTAAACAAGGAGTCTGGTTAATGTGCTATCTTAACACATTCGCTGGATATTTTACAGTGATATTACACATTAAGACATAACATGGTTCATTTAACTTTTGTGTGATGTATTGTATGAACTCAGCTATTGTGATCTGCTGACCAGGGTTTATAGTTTAGTATATAACATGAACTTAGCCAGTTATGGTTTATTCAGTAAACAATGGTTAAGTGAAGTATAGTTTATGCAATATGTGAGTTCAGCATACAAGAGCAGTGCAGACCGACATGCCCTCTAGAAAGAAGTGAAACTCAAAAAGAAAACCTCATACTATATTCCCTCTATATGTCATTAGAGAGCTAAGTTTACCCTGTTAATTGTGCTTCTGTCCCTTTAATCAATAGAAAAAATTACCCATCTCTTAAGTCAAGGCTCCTCTGATTTCGTTAGGAAATAAGTCCAACTACTTAACCGTGGCCCAGCCCAATAAATAGGACCTGCCCCAAGTAGCTTACCTCTTGTCGAATTTCATCCAGGTGGTCTATAGTCAAACGCTTCTGACTCAGCTCTGGACCGAGAACAAGGGAAGGTCTGGAGGCCTTGGCAGATTTGGGCTATATGGAAAAAAAAAAAATCCAAACTTATAACAAAGGTTTGTCAAGTCTGAGCAGATCAGTGTCGCGTACACATACAGAAAGGGTGCCAGAAAGATTTCATCATTAGATGAAAATAGTAAGTCTGATGTTGTAGTAATTCATGACTGGAATTAGGTACTCACCTTCTGCTTTATCCACCTTCTTTTATGGAAGAAATGGTCGTCAAAGGACGAGATGGGCTCCATCCTCCTTTGTGCTTCCAGCTTCTGGAGATCCTTTTTTGGCTTTCCTTTCACCAAGACATCCCGGTTAGGGATCAAGGGAAAGATAGGCACTTGAGCATAGGGACTGTCTGAAGGGCCAATCTTTGCTAGGTAAAGCAAAACAGAATTAAATGTCAGGATGCTCCCAGCTAAGAATTACCAATACTTGGGACTCAGCATCCAACCCCCTCTCTAGTGAAAAGCAAAGAGAAATTGGAGCAGAACGTAGCAGAGATCAAGTGACAGAAAGAAGCAGGGAGCTATTGCAAGAGGCCCAGCAGGAAGCTAGGCAGCAAACTTTTCCTTCTCCCCCAAACTAATCTGATTTCCAAGGTCTGAACTAAATATTCTTTTATAAAGGAATGAATGCATCTCCTTTTCTTTGTGCTGGGGACACAGAATGGTAATGATACAGTGTAGAAGGGATGCTGTTTTTCATGCTTTTCTCCCCTACCATGGCCCTGGCTGAAATTGCTTCTCAGTCAGCTCTTAATAGCTATTGGAGGAAAAACTTTATTAGCACAAGGACAGGCATCCAGTATAAACCATGATAATGCAAAAATGACAAAATGTGCACTTCACAGTGCAAACTCAGGTGTTCGTACTTATATCCAACACTGCACACAAGTATGTAAGTTATGCGGTTTGCACTGAGACACCCCAGTGTATATTTTGTCACTTGCACCCCTTTGCCCCTTCCTGCAGATACCCTTAGTTATTTTCTTTTACTAGCTAACTGAAGTCCTAGGAATTTGGATAAACCGTAGCAAATGCCCCTCCATCCTGCAATCCAGATGGGTTCTAAGGCCCTGTAATGTGTATTTGCAAGAAGAGAGAAGATTGCATATGTCATATTTAATCTGGGTCTGTATCTTCAGTAGATAATAGATTAACTGATACGATCTGCATAAACCGCCTAAGACAAGGCAAAAGAATAAATAAATTCCATATATTTCCCATCCCCTCACTCCATCATTTCATTACAGGTTATTTAGAAATTTAAGAATTGTTTTTAGCACTGAAAGAACTTTTCAGAGGCCTGTCTAAAACCTTATCAAATTTTCAGAACCATTTCATGGTTCTTTTCCACTGGAATGAATTCCTTTTGTGGAAGCAGAAAATAGAGCAGAGACTCCTTCCTAGTTGACTGCTATGTGCTTTCCCAACCTCCATTCCTAATCAGAAAAGCCTTCTCGGGGAATGTGGTCACCGATTGTGGCAGCTAATTGCTATGGTTTGGGGCAGTGAAGCATCGCTTGGATCTTTGCTGCCGCTTGAACAAAAATCCGCCAAATGGATTTTTTGCTGCCTTCCTGCTTCTGTTACACAAGTGGTCATCCACTAGGAGAAAAAGGGAGAGACAGACAAACTCAGTGTCGGATTGATGCAATGCAATACCTGTATTTAGCAGAGTCCTGAAAAGAGTTTTGAAAAGGAAAACCCGTATTCCCTTGCAATGCTACCCATGATGCCTACCCATGGGCCTGGAACTACTTTCCAGAGCACCTTCCTCTGCATCTACTCTGCATCTACCATCCTCTGCATCTATTTTTTTCAATTCCCCCCCTCCCAAAAAACCCTCACCTTTTCCTAGAGGGCTTTTGCACTAATACATCAATTCCTATATACTGTTGTAATTAAGCTTTATATATTACATTTATATAGCACATTTATCTCACACAAAGCGACTCTGGAGTGTGTAAAACAATTAAAAGAACAGATGAATAACGAATCTGGAGCTATATCATCATGCTTACCTATTGTCAAGTATTAAATGTTGGAAGCCCAACAATTGGTGTTAATTTTCCAATTTGGGCAACTTTGGAATATACATATATAACACCTTTGGTTGGATGAACAGTATTAGGATCGAAATATACTAAAACTCTAATATCTCTGGAAACAATTTCATCAGTTAAAAAGCTATGGAATGGAATGTCTAATTAAAAAAAAAAAAGATTTGACCCTTTTTCCCATGCCAAATTGACTTTAG